TCAGCTTCAACTTAAGCTTCTCGCAAATATCATCTTCAGTAGTGGTTGTGGTGGTTGCCGATGAAGAAGCGGAAGACGAAGGAGTTATCGATCGAGGTCCAATCTCCGAGATGACATTTGCATTTTCTATTTCTGACTGCCGGCTGAAAGTCGAAGGAGTCTGGCCGACAGAAAGCTGAGATTGACAAGCCTCCAGGTACTGACGACATTGCTTTAGGTGGCATGTGTGGTGATGAGGATCTAAATGAAGTTCTGGTGGGCAATGTTGTAATTTAGGCTGAGGGTGACGAAGGTGATTACCTAGTGGCGGAGGTCTAAGGGGATGGTCACAGACAGTTGTTTGCAAGAGGCTTAACAAAGGAAGGCTACCTCCGCTTGGCGCCTCAACCGAGCAAGCATTTGGCGCCACTAATCTACACTGTAGGCCGGAAATCCCGGCCAAGCCACCAATCGAGGCTGTCACTCGATGTGTGGGGGAGCCAGGAGTCCGAGGTGCAGCCAAATGAAGAGCAGTCTTATGCTTGGTAGTGATGACAGCAACACTGTCGCAGCCGACCCTAGATGCGTCCGGCCCACTCCCATTTGGAGGGTTATCAAGTGTGATACCAGAGGTGGTAACTGGGGCTGTGACGATAGCCTCTTCAGCATCGCTGTTCCCCTTTGAAGAGATACAAGACGTGGGTGGAGAGCTTGTTTCCAAAGGCAAGTGTTTGAACTGCTGAATCCGAGTGCAGCATGGAACAAATTGTTGGTTATAAGGTGTTGGGTGGCTGACTGCCATACAGGAAAAATCCGTCAAGAGGCTGCCACCTGGTCGTGATTTAGGGATACCATCGCACAGGCAAACCCCTGAAAATAAGATAAAAATATATGCAAGCAGATATAAGCTAAAGTATATACAAATATTAAAAAGTATAAAGTGAGGAGTTCATCAGGTAAAAGTGATGACAATAAAAAACCAAAATCCTGGATAGGTATAAAAAGCTATGGGATCAAAGCAGAATGTAAAAATAAAAATCCAGAAATCTAACTTTCAGCGAAATAGTGAATATCAATAAAAAGACGTAGATACTATGGTCAAGAATACTTTCTTCCATTAACAATGCAAGAAGCAACAAGGGTTAATGGGTTAACTCTACAGGAATTAATTGAGTCCTAGGTACGGCGCATGCATGCCTGAGAGGCTGAGAAGAGTTTCTAAACCGCCCAAAATAAAGAAAACTTTTTTGACAAAAGAATACGGGACAGAATCGTTATAATTTTTACATTAGATAAATACCAGGAGAGATATTCGAAAAACTAATATCAAAATTACTTATAAATTCACAGAGAAAATAGTATCTGTTGCTAAGCTTCAGCGACACTAACTACGCTCAATAACCGATAAGAAAAATAGGAAAATGGGAGTAAGCCAGACCTTTATTAACCATATTATTGGCAACCCAATCTCACCAAAGCCAAGGTGATTCATGTTAACAAGCTGACAAAAGCATTCTCATGAGATATAAATGATAGTAAAAAATATATACATGATTAAAAAAGCCCCTTTAAAACACTAGAAAAGGAATTATCAAGTGCATTACTATTTCAGATCCCTTAAAAGCGGAAAAAACTAGGGCGATAAATCAAGGATATAAAACCTCCAACGATCAACAACTTGGTGTAATAAAACAATAGATACACAAATAACAGATGAAAAGTCAATTTTGGAAACGCATGCACGAAAAAAACGCAAGATAAGTAACGGGAAATGACATCACAATGATGCAGAAAACAAAGTTCATGCCAAGCGAATTA